CTAACTGTTCAGTCCTCTGCTGCAAGTGGGAGTGCAGCCATTGTGGACCCAATATCAGAAGGACAGTTAAGTTTCGAGTATGCGTGCATGAAAGATTTTGATAGGTATGGATCATTTTCTTAGACGGGCAAACATTTTAAATGATTTTTACATTTGCTTACTTGTTACTCACGTGTACATATTTGATTCACAATCTCTTTTTAGGGATGACAATGAAGTGCTAAGCACCGTTGGCGGCAGCAAGTATACATTGAGCAGGCAAGATGCGATGTCAGCAGTATTTCCCAATGCTATGACTAGCAATTTTGTAAACTGTTATGCCGATTATCTCAACAGGAAGACGGGCTTAACTGATACAATCACAAGATGGGTTTACAACACCGGGCATGCAGTAAGAATGATGCCATTTTCCTCCCACTATCATTTATGATTTCTATTTTTCAAAGTGGTACCAGTATTTTATAAGTGATAGTTTTCAAAGTGGTACCAGTAATTTTTATAACTGGTACAACTTATATACTGGGCTATAAGTACCAATGATTATCTTGACTGTCCATTTTGGAACCTCCATTTCAGCGACACATCGCAACTATGATTGAGTGGAATGCTCCGATGAACACACCGAATGATTGGGTGGGGGAGACGTGTAATATGCTTGAGGAGAGCCAGTGGCTGAATGGGAAGACACTCCATGCTTGTAAATTTGTAAGTAACATAAAACTAAGACGTCTCAAGAATACCGTGTTACTTGTTTTGTGCTTGTTTTTAAGTTTTGTGCACTTGTTATTGCCTTACAAATTCACTCCAGTGTTGATGCTTGGTTGCAGTGGTTCGTGTCGTACAATTCCGAGTCTAAGTTGGTGTTGTACTGTGTCAACCTCAAGGACAAGAAGTTCGAGTTCTTCGACTGAAGTGGGGCAAATTTACACCATTCTTACGAAGACTTGGCGAGGAGGTCGTCAAGTTTCCAACTCACTATATGGAAGCAAAGTTGAATCTGAAATACAACTGGGAAGAATTCCATTGGCGTCCGGTTACAAGCATAAACAGCTATGAAGATACACATGGGGGGATCGGTTGCCTCAACTTCTGCGAGTTTTGGGAAGGGAGACTTCTCGGTCAATGGAAGAAAGATTGGCGCCAATCAAGTTATCTGATGAACAGGTTGGCACAGTTGGTTAAAAATTTGATCGATGACCCAAGTAATTCGAAGCGCGATGAGGTGATGGGTAAAGCTTTTGAGATGAGGCAGGGTTTACTCCATGGATATACTCAGAAAACCCAATAGTAGTTTCCCACATTTCCAGCAGTTAGGTATTGGTTTATGTATGAGAAGGAGTATGAACAAAGTTTTAGTAGGTGCTGGCTTTTAGTTATATTTATTTTTTTGAGAACACAGTACTTCTCTTGTTATCTAATTAAACAATGACTACAGCGCCCTCCCATGGCAAAGTGCATTGTTTTTTAAGCCACTATTCTAATCCAGTGCTTATTGCCAATTGCAAAAATGACCTGCTGACTCTTTCCCCGTATATAGAAAGGGGTAGGGATCAATTACCACTAGTGGTCACCGCTACCAGAACTCGACTCCAGCTGCAACTAGTGCAACAATTACTCGTACCAATCACTTATAATGGTACATAACTATTACATGTACCAGTAGCTACTATTGGGTACAAGTACAAGTGTCGTTCTGCTAAAGGGAAGTAGTCCAAGTGTCGTTTTAAACTACGGCCAGCAATGGTACTTACCAGTAGTACATGTACTAGTAAATAATAGTGAGAGAACAGAAACAACTATAGTTACCAGTACCAGAAACAGAAGTGTACAACTAACCGAACAACGTTTAATGCATCGTGTACTAAATCACAAATGGAACATCTCAGTAGCCATATTACAATCAATATTTAGGTATTATTTTTTTCTCTTTGTGTTCAGTTCCTTGTTGAGTTGTTTCCTTGCTAACTGACTTGCTATCTCCCTAGCCGACATCAACCTCTTCCTATATCGTTTCTTGTCTTGCCGCTGCTTCATTTTGGTACCTTTCAAAGTATGGTCATCAATGGGATCCGATGTTGCCAAAGTGTCTTCGTCCATTTTTTCAGCCCATTTTGGTGCTCCTACAAAAAAAAATATAGAGTATGAGGAACACATATCAAATCCTAGATCAATGTTTAGACTACATAAATTAACTGGAAATCAAATATACTAGTAGTACAAGTACCAGTGTCTGCAGACAAGTACCAAAGGTTCAGATAACTTACTTTTCATGATGTCATCGGCTTCTAGTTTGAGCTTCTCCAAAGTGGATGTCAATAGCGCATAGACTTCATCATTTGCAACAATCCTGGTAGCTAGTACATTCATAGTCCCGGTCAACTTCTTCACCCTAGCCCCCAATGAATTATGCACAAGTGGGTCCGCCTCATGTATTTTGAAATCCACTCCTTCCCTCGCATATCGGGTCCACCTCTTCAAAATGTAATCTTCACGAATATGCCTAAGTTCGCGATTCTGCCCACTGGAACCTAGATGGTCCATTGTTTTCAGAATATGTTTGCATAACCATCCCCATGTCTCAAAATGATGGCAACTACATCTGAACTTCCGCTCTTCCATGTTGACGTGGACAATCCTCTCATCTGTTTTATCATCATTAGGACCCTCATAGCGGTACAGGCTGTAAGCAATCCAGGAATCTTCATTCATCTCCAAGTTCAAATCAATAGAATATCCTAGGCTCATCCCAATCTCATTGTTGAACTGCCTTAGGACATTGTATGTGTAGATTTTTTCAACCTGTTTGCTGAAGAGGTGTTGTGAGTAACGCACGGGAGGTGCTTCATTCACGAGCTGGTATTCCGTTTCTTGTTCCTTTTCTCTTTTCTTTTCCAGCAGACGGTCAAAATGATCAAAAAATTGTGCATAGTTATGGGCTGACTTCAAATGTGTTCGTAGGGTACTGTTGCAGCATTCACTTAGTTGAGAGCTTCTCATGTCGTTTGTCCTGTGTTCTCTCATCCCAAGTCTTGACCATTTATATCTGCGTAGCATTTGAAATGGATACCACAATATCAATATACGTAACACTGCATAACAACACTTAAACAGGAATTGGTATGCGCTACCAGTGGATTTGTACAACTGTCTACTACTTGTAGAAAAACATATGTGCGTGGCTACCACTAGTGAAGTACCATTATGCACATAACCTATTACTTACCGATGTTTACGTAGCTTGGCGAGCCAAGGGTGTCCATCAGGGCCTTTCCCAGAAAAATATTTATCAATCATTCGGTTCCACACATGATCGAATTCCTCCTTGGTGTCAACGCTGTATATGAGACAATTAATCTCAGTCTTCAAGTCGGTGTTATAACCTTGCACCGAAGATTAGTCATCCCATTTTGGTGTATATGCCAGGTGCAAAGTGTGTGGTATGATCCATCAAAGACCTCTTTAATTCCTATGGCTATAGCTTTTGCTTGATCTGTGAAGATCGATTTTGGTTGTTTGCCAGACATGCATCGGAGAAAACTATGGAATAGCCATGAAAAAGAGGCAGCAATTTCGTCGTACATCAACCCCGCTCCAAATATACACAACTCTCTATGATTGTTGAAACCAACAAATAATCCTGAATTAATTGAAATGAGCAGCAGAAGTACCATTAGTTCACTACCAATGTTAGGTACCAATACCATTAGACAAGCAAGTGGTATGAAAATCGTAAATACCAGCAATCAACTACCAATGACACGTACCTAAAGGTCTAGAGCCTTGGTTCGTCCTGTAGGTCGTGTCAAAACTTATTGCATCACCGAAGCACTCATAATCAAACCGCATTCTGCAATCCGCAAAAAATACAATTACAATTTCATCATCCGCATCTACTTGCATGTCGTAGAAAAATGATGGGTCACATTTGGTCCTCCTCCTGAAATACTCGTGAAGAACGCGTGCATCACCTTTCGCCATGCGCCTGTTCCTTGCCTTTTTTGTACAATTTTTCAGATCCCTCTTTGTGAACGGGAGATTTTCCTTCCCCCCGGCCGTAGCAGCAAATGAATCATAAGAGTTTTGAATAGGGATCCCCACACAATCGTTTATTTCGGCAAAGTATGCATATTATGCCGTTACCTCACGATTTGAGCGCATAAAACATCTTGATAAGGCATTGTGCAATTCATGATCATGCTCGTCTGTCCATTTGTAAATCTTGTAATTACCGGCTGGGTGCTCATACCTGCACAGAGCAACAGCTTGACAACCAAAACGAGTCTCCCCCCTTTCCCTTTCTTTAGGAAGCTCTGAGTCAACGACCTCCTCATGATTTTTTGGATCCAACCTCTGTTTTTTCTATACCCTCGTTTACTACACTCACCTCCAAAATAGAATATGAATGGTTCTGGAAAGTATGACCTTTTCTTCTTCATCGCACCAACAACTCTTGACTAGAATCCTCTTCCATGAGCAAAACACTTGTAAAAGCGATTAAATTCATCTTGATTTTGGAATCGCAAGTGCCTCCAAGTTGACTCATCTGCTGGGGTGGCAGTTGATACCGCATCTGTAATTTAAACAAAACATTAGAAGTGACATTATAGATGTACACGTGCCACTGTAAAATATACTGACATGACATTACTACCACTAGGCCATTACCACTAATTCAATAGTGGTACCATTATGTGCATACCACTAGATGACTACGACTAGATTCCTACCAGTAATTAACTAGAGGTACCATTATGTGCAGACCACTACATGACTACCACTACCAACGACGTACCATTAAGCGACTACCACTCCTAATAAATACTACTAACGAAGTACCACTATATGACTACCGCTACGCTAATACCACTACTAACGATCTACCATTAACTCACTAGTGGTACCATTATGTGATGGCGTTAGTTGTACCAATACATTAACTTCACATGTTCACCGTACCAATACATTAACTTCACATGTTCACCGTACCAAGTATGTTACCATTATGTGCTGTCATCATTCTCTTGAAGTGGTGGGACGGCCTCAGCCTCGAAATTGTCGGTTTTATCAACGTTGACGTTCTCCGTCTTCCCGTTTTGCTCCGACCGCTCTTCGTTGAATAGTTCCTCATCGGCTGCATCATCCACCATGATAACATCACCACCATTCTCCGCCTCTTCAGCTACCGCGTCGTTATTGAATATGTATGGGACGTTCAGGTCGGCCCCAACGAAACCAGATTGTTCAGCTCTGCCATGATCTATGCTTTCCTCGTGGTTCTTGTTGACGTCCATTGTCTACGGTCGGCAACGACGATGTATTTCCAAGGAAGTGATGCAGACGGTTATTGAATGGGAAGATTCCAGGAATTGAATGGCAATAGACGTGGGATGCAATTATGGTTAGTTTCAAACCATCCCCCAAATCACGTTCAAATATATTTTTCCAATGCATTTATTGTTAATTTAAAACAATAATTCATTAATCTAGTTACACAAAAGCCCTTGCTCTTTTCTGAACCATTAGATGTAAACGGATGATCAATGGCTGGGAAGTGGGAAGTGAAAATCACAACCCCTATGGTGGTTGTGACGCTATCCCGTGCCGTCAACACACCCATAATGTTTCATGCTTCTCCTTAAATCTTCCTCCTTTTCTTTTGTTGTAGAAGATCCTAGTAGATAATTGATAACATAGTATTTGCACACGTTTATCCCCTCGTTTCTTGGGCGTTTGGGATCAATTCCTTGCATATTAAGTCGTTTTGCGGTAGATTGTGTACATTTGTGATCTTTCAGGTCCTAGAGCGTGAATGGAGGATTAGGAGCAAGTTTCGGCACATTCGCAGATAAGACGAGATTTGGAGGTTGTGAAGGTGAATTCCACGGTCTGGGGAGTCATTCCCCTACCATGGAACAGGCATCACCGTGCTTCTGACATGAAAGAAACTCAGTTTCTGAGAACTATTCCATGACACGAGAATGAAGGCGGAAGACCTGGGAATGGGCTTCAAGGAATTTAAGTGAAGCGCAACATTTTGATGTTACACTGTCTGGAACTCAATTCCTAGACCGTGTAACATGACCGAGAACGCCAGTGTCGCGGGTACTAAGTTAAAACTCGGAATTTTTGCTAGGGGATTCGATTTTCACTTCAAGAAACTATCTAAAAGAGCCTTAGAGAGAGACGTGACGAATAACAAGGGCTTGGAGCTTATTTGAGCTAAGATTTGACGTTTGAAGATTGGATTTAGACCCTCGGAGAGCTAATAGACATCCCGGAGCTGATTATACACATCGTTATGAGTATATCCACTTTGTCTGTATTTTCTTCTCTCTATGGAGTATACCTAATTTTCAATTAGGTATAAAGAAATCGAGTTCCATGTGTTAGGATTAGTGTTGTATGAACCTTTGGATGTTAAACTGATTTATTATATTCAATTGAAGTATGATTATTTGAGTCATTTGAATCTTAATCACGCTTTCTTGATTTCTGCTTTAACTTAGGGTAGATAGAATTTGATTGGGCTAATAGAGCTTATTCCATTGGAAGTACTGAATCGATCATACGAGAGTCTAGTGATTCATTACTTTGTACTGGAATTCATTCCAGTAGCCGATATCTTCGTTCATCAGTAATTGGTCCTAATTGAGGAACTAGGGGTACACATACTTGAGTTACCCTTCTTGCATTTGAAAATCGAACAATTTACTTGCTTTCTCTGTTACTTTGTTTTCCACAAATTCACCACAAATCGACAGCAAGATAATAGAACATTCACGGAGTAGGCAGTACACCAGGACCCGAGTTGACAAACTAAATCGAGCCCATTTTACTGTAGTCCCTCCCAATGGTTATACTTGGCCATTGTGAGGAGTGTTGTGTTTTAGTGAGTCAGGTTTTTGGCGCCGTTTCCGAGGAATGGCTAGGTTATTGGAGAAACATGAATTTTCATTACTTTAGCATTTACTTTCTTCCCCCTATTTGCCTTCACGTGTTCTGTTTCTAGCTGTGTGCTGGTAGTGCATGACCCATAGTCAATTAGGTGATTTAGTACGTTTGGATCAGGAGTTTGAAAGGACTCTTTGCTAGTTCAAGAAAGCACTGAAGGAGAGACTGGTTGAGGAGGAGGACCCAGCCAGGTTGTCATTGCCGAAGAACCTGAGAGTATGTCCCACCAAAATTGGGCCATCTTATGGTTGATGTTGTGACCTAATGCTTTAGGTAGGCACAAACATGATATAACATATAGACCAGTCAAGACCATAGACAAGGACATGCAATGTCATTCCAACCCTGCAGCTGTCTGACCATCTCTTCTTCAATATTACAAAAAGTTTATTGCTTGAAATGGTGGATTAAACGTGGTAGGCCTAGGTATTTATCATGGCCCTAACATCACCATCTTCATCTTGAAGTAAATAAGCAAAAGTTGTGACATCCAATAAGAATGTTATATTCCCGAGATAACCACCACAAACCAATGATGTACACAATTATAGCATGTAACGTTAGGGGTTTGGGGGGCCCAAAAAAGCGAGCAAGGGTGAAAGGCATTATGTAATGGTGGAGACCAGCAATAGTTGGTTTTACGGAGACTAAATGGAAATCTTGTGATCAACAGCTAATTACATTAATAAGTGGCAGCAAAGCAGTGGATTGACCGCAAAGGATTCGATGTCAGCCAGCGGGGGAGTTGCAATGTATTGGGACAACATACTGTACAAATCTCTTTCAGTATGGAATTATTGCAGGAGTTTTATTTTTTATGTGAGAATTATTCGGCACCCCTTTGCATTATTCGAGACTTCAACCTCGTTTGATCCTTAGAAGACTTCATGGAAAGCCCTCGAAGTGCGGAATTGATGATAGAATTCAATAATTTTATCAGCTCACACAACCTATTGGATCTTCCCCGACAATGGTCCAAATTCACATGGAGCAAATGAGGATTACAATCCTCTTTGTCAAACATTGATATAGCCCTCATCAACCCCAGTATTGATGACTATTATTCACCAGAACACCTCACAGCTCTTGATCGGGTAGCTTTCGATTATAATTTGATCCTATTGAGATGGGGCACTATCGAGAAAATCTGTCACTCGTGGAGATTCGAGAACATGTGAATTTTGTAGGAATCCTTTCTACCTAGTCTGATAGTGTGTTGGAATGTTCCCGTGAACGATACAAGTCACCTTTTCAAGTTTGGATCTAAGGCTATACAAACCAAAATACCGATAAAACAGTGGAATAAGGTACCCTTTGGAAGGTGGATCTTTTTTCTCTCAAAGATTAATATCATCGAAGGCAAGTTTTTCATTGTGTTCAAACACAAGTTTTTCCTCGCCGGAAACACTGTATAAATTATATAATTCCAACTGAATAAGAAGGTGCATTCATTGTGTTCAAACACAAATTTTTCCTCGCCGGAAAACACTGTATAAATTATATAATTCCACCTGAATAAGAAGGTTGGAGAATGATTCAGTTTGACACTGTTTTGGTGTTTAGTGAAATTTCCGAATTTGAAGCAAATTCGAATACATAAATAATTATTGAGAATATATCATTTCTATCTACTATTTAAGTATATTTATGAACCGTACTGAACTGGACCAAACGAATCAAATATGATTTTAATCTGATTAAAATCCTTATTTTTCTTTATTTTTGGTTTAGCCTAATCGCGAATTGATAACCGAATCAACCAATGGTTATTCTTATAAAATACACACTTTCAATTCGATTAATTCCTTTTTTACACAGATCTCAACAAACTAGTTAGTATCGGTTAAATCTACCAAGTACATTAGCTTTGTTGAGAATCACCTCTTTAAAATAAGAAATAGTTTCCCTATTAGTGTTCACTTTTTGATCAACCGAATTATTTACCAAAAATGAGCATTTTAATTATTAATTTATAATTCTTTGGGATGGATGACATTCTAATGCATTGTTTTGATGATTTATTGTAATACATTATGGTGTTGCTGTATAATATTTCCTGGTTGAAGAAAAAACTAATGTAGGTTCTTTGATCTTTTTTTTTTTTTTTTTTTTTTTGACAATATAGGTTCTTTGGTCGAAGGGAAGCCCAAATTATCAAAATGAAGGCAGCACTTTTGGGCCTAAAAAACACAAGCCCAATACCTTCTCAAAATTACAGTATGACGCCTCATCTCATAGAAATGAACATGTTCACCCTTATCCGGAAACAATAGAGGAAAACGGAAAAGAAAAAGAAACGGGAAAAAAGGGATAAGAAGATTAACCGTTACTCGGCAATGGCTGCGGTTGTTCCAACTGTGGTAGTTGCGTCCAATTCAGGCGGAAGCGCATTTTTGCACCCTCTCAGGCACACATTCGCCGCTGCCGGTTCATTCCTTCGCTCGAGTTGGAAACATTCAGATACGAGTGTCCACTTCTTACAGCTGAACTCGAGGAGGAAGTTCGTGGTGCGAGCTGCGAGAATGGAGTCAAAACGCGCTTCTTTAGGCTCCAAAGCTCCTGCCTTTGAGGTATTCATGCACTCTCTCGCTTACCCACTTTTGTTTCCTTATGCTAATTGGAGTGTGCTCTGTGTCATTTTCGTTTTCTTTTTGGTTTTGATTTTCATGGGAAAATACAGCTGCCAGAACCTCTCACCGGGAAGACATGGAAACTTGAAGATTTCGAGTCATACCCTGGTTTGCTGGTGAGTTCTTCGTCGATTTCCAACTAGTTAACTGTAAAGGTTGCTTTTGCTTATTGGTTGGATTTAGCTGTTTTTCGTTTTTGACCATTCTGTTGACCAATGTTTAGCTGCGTGGGCCTATTGAGCTCAATAGAAGACTTACCTTACCTGTGTGGTGTGATCCCAATACCTTCTTGGCAGTTTGTTTAGGCAGAGTTTGTTGTTTAAAAGCTTTTGCTTACAAAAGAACATTAATGACACGAAGAAAGTCATCAGGTCGTCCTGGAAAGAATACTCGGGTTCATTTGAAGGGTTCCCCTCATAAGTGAATGCTGTTCATAGCTCAAGTGTATTTAGCATTCACGTGACTTTTCACAACACCCAAAGGTTGTTGTGAAACGTTTGAGGTATAGTGTTAAAGCGGTAAAGTTTGAGGCATATGCGACTAGCTTAACCTTTTCAGGCTTCCTTAACATGTTTGTCATGCATATGACTGTATACATGAAAGAGGAACTAAATAGGGCACTCACAGGTAGCATGATATGGGTTTACCACCAAAATTGAAATACTCAACAATTGAGGGAATGCAGAAATGATTTTTTTTTGGTATGCTGTCTCAGCCTGATCAACATGAAAATCAAAGGCAATTTACATGTGAAACATCCTAATTGAGAAGCATTTTGATGTGCCCAGGGTTGATTAGGAAATGAAACAGGAAACAATGGGGTTCTGTTTGATAGCTGCTTGAAAATTCCACAAAACAAACGTAAAGATAGGATTTGACGGATGCTCTCCAATGCAGGAGCTGACGTCGCTGGAGAATCCTCTCAAAGAAAGCAAGTCAAAAGACTCAACACTCACTGTGTTTAATCTCTCAAAATATACAGAATTAACCTCCCTACATAGAGGTAGTTCAAAAGACTAACATACATTAGGAAAATGTTAAAAGCCTCAACCAAGGAACAAGGAGAACTACAAATAAAACTAGAGCAAACTCTAAGCCGCCCATCTCATTTAGCAATTTCTTGTAACAGAACCTCTTTCCATTATTTTTCCTTTTCAGCAGATTTCTTCAGAATGTTTGATTCCCCATGACCAAGAAACATCGAACTTACAATGGAAATGGATGCTTTCTAACTATACATATTAGGATCTGGTGCTACATATTGTACCTGTTGTCAGAGGTTCAGTGTCTATTCTAGCTAACCAATATTGGGTTGGGTTTGACAGTGGTATTGGATCTTATTTGATGTATGAACAGTTAATAAATTGTGAGCATATTGTTTGCAGGTTATGTTCATATGCAACCACTGTCCCTTTGTTAAGCATTTGAAGAAGGATATAGTGAAACTTTCAAATTTCTATATGGAGGTAGCTCAAATCCTACTCTATTGTCCAGCTATTCATTCGGAAAGGGATGTGGATTTGTACAATGAACGTTTCTCATATCATGGTGCAGAAAGGACTTGCTGTCGTTGCAATTTCTTCGAATTCTCTAGCTACACACCCACAGGTTAACACTATCCCATTTTCTCAAGATTAGAGTTAACCATGGCTGAGGATGCTAAATATTTTGACTATCCAGAGCCTGTTGTGATACTGAAATGGAATTCATCTTTTCAGGATGGACCTGAATCCATGGCTGAGGATGCTAAATTGTTTGACTATCCATTTCCATATTTGTTTGATGAGGTATGTGAGTGATTGATGTCTTGAAGTCGAACTTTACTTTTTGGGTTTTCTTTCCCTTTCTTTTCCCCATCCTTCCTCCAAAAGTTCCTTCCATCTTTTCAAGGCTTCTATACAATTGGAATGCCAGATTTGATATGGTTTATCGGAGTGATTGAATTGGCATCGCTGTGTCTGTGGATTGGGCCCATGATTTGGATTGCTATGTTAGTAGAACTTAAGATATCTTGGAAGCAGATATCAAGAACTACAGGCTATGGGTTAAAAATAGGGGTGAAGTACATTGGGTTCTAATCTAAGGACATGTTGATTCTTATATGGCAACCTATGGAAAATAATTGTCATGACGTTCTCTACCTGTATTGGCTTTCCAAAAAGAGCGAGGAAAGTATAATCCATGGGTGTTAAACAGCTCTTGGTGGGTTTTTCTTGGTTTGGTGAATAGATGTAAAGATCCTGGTAGACAGATTTATATTGAATTTTAAATTGTTTTGTTTGGTTCTACGTGACATAGACTAACGACCAGAATTAAGGCTGTTATGAACTGGAAAATTATAATCGGAATGGTCACCTAAGTAGTGCTAGATGTACAGTAATTGGTGTATGGGTAGTTACCAATAGAAATTGTATGGCCCATTATATTGTGCAAGTTCAACCCTTGTTCGAGGTGCATTTCCTAGGACGTAATTTTGTGATGAACTCCAGAATCTTACTTGTCTTAAGGCAAGAACGGAGTCAGAGTCAGCTTTGTCATTCAGCTGTGCTTTATCTATATCTGGATTTCTACCTTCAAAATCTCTTAAGGAAGTCCTCCAAACCCCTTCCCATGCTGATCATATCTAGATCTCAGGAAAAATATGAACAGTATGCTAAAAGATTATAAATGTTAGTCTTGAAAATGCATCAATTCTTAAAATTCGATGGAGTAGTACTCAAAATTTTGACGATATATATTTTAGAACAGGCAACAAAGGTAAACTGATGTCTGTAAAGATTATTCAACCTCATTAACTAATTAAAAATGTCTGAACTGTAGTCACAAGAGGTTGCACGGGATTTCAGAGCAGTCTGTACGCCAGAGTTTTTCCTGTACAAAAAGGTGACCTTTTATTCTTTGTTACATGTTTTACTTTGTTGCTAAAAGTTGCATGTCGGCAGCCTTCAGGTTTGGTTACTGGTTAATTGATTTTCTCTCCATCTTAACACTTGCTGTACTGAATTGGCTTTTAACAGGATGGGAGGAGACCATTTGAGCTGGTTTATCATGGCCAATTTGATGATTCCAGGCCCAACAGTAACGTGCCTGTAACTGGAAGGTAATATCTTTGTTTTATTCAACCAAACAAGTAAAAAATTTGACTCTTGTTTCATAATCCTGCTTTTAGGGACTTAAGCAGAGCGATAGATTGCGTCCTAAGTGGGCAGCCAGTTCCGTCTGTTCAGAAACCAAGGTACTGTTCATATGAGTTTATCTCGTCTTAGATCTCTCTTTGAAGATTTAACCTGCTTTGACTAGACTACTGAGACCATCATTGTTCTCCTTGGGCTCTAAAGTATTGGGTGCAGCATAAAGTGGCATCCCGGGAAGGACCTGTAGTGTTGCTGGGAAATAATGATCGATACAGTAGCCGAAGATTTCATTCTAGGTACATTATTGCCCATGTATGAATTGAACTCCTCGTCAATTCCAGAACTTTTCCATGAGATCAGTTAATTACTGATAACGTTTATGTATCATTTCTATTCGAATTTGAACTCTAGGAAAGAATGTGAACATCTCTCTTACAATTCCAGCGTTCTTAGACCTATATTTTCTTGACAACTCTTTGCCACTCGACTATGTTGATTCATCATCTCAAGGGAATCTGTCATATCATAACAGCGACGGACGAATGTTGTCATGTCGCGGCTGCAATCTATCAAGTTAGGCGCAAACTCATATACAAAAAATGCAAGGTTGCGGTCAGATGTCTGCAAATTTGTGCACCACAGAAGTGTCTTCCACATTCTTAAGGCTCGTGTCCCTTTTCATATTTGTCTTTATCAAGAGGCAGCATGCGTTTGCTGAAGGTGTTTGCTTGGATAACTTTCGGTTTAGCTTTTAGTAGCATGCAAGAATTTAGTTTGTGGCTGGAAATGACAGATCAGGTGGACACTGCTAGAAATTTTGCATGCTTGTTTGTTCATTGTGACTAGCCCTCTAATTCTGTCAACTCCCCCAGTTACGTCTTGCTGCCCCCTTTGGTCCCCATCCTCAAGCTTTCACATATATGCAGTAGGAAGGTAGCTACCAGCCTACCACCATTACCAGAAATGGGAAAGACCAACCCAGTCGACATTTGGACGGTTGAGAAGGCACACTAGCCATATGGAAATGATAATGTGTGACCACTTCACTATCTCAAACCTTCCTAGTGCTGTTTGGTGGCTGCAAAATCCTTTCCATATCTCCATCCTTTTATTCCTGTCGGTGTTATGCTGCCCAAGCTAGACGTGACATCAGTTGAATTTCTCAATTTCAAAGTTTGTTGAGATTGAATGGGATCAGAGCTGGGGAAAGGAAGCAATACTGTTTTGCTTAGGTCAGGATCCCGTCTTCTAGGCCATGTCGAACATGAAAGATCTCACCTTTCTAAGGGTGGAGATATGGTGTTTGTTGTGAGTTGGTGGGGAGGCTTCATTGGACTCCCCCTGTTGCCCTTTTGACAGTAACCTACAAAACTAGGGAGAAAGGTTGCAGAGACTTCCAATGTAGAAATCCTAAAGTTTTTGTCAGAAGGGAAAACAGGTTGGTTGATGGAGCAGAAATGAACAAAACTAGAATCCAGCTGTAGTTGGTAAAAAAGTGTTGTCAAGTTAGTGAAGGTGGAAGAAGGTAATGATATAGCTACAAAACTGATGCTGACAGCCATTATTCCTCTGTGGGGATGCTTGGAATAGTGCTTTCTAGATGCCATATCGTGATCAAATGATAATGAGAAAGTTTATGCTATATGGTCGGCCCTCATTACTCACTGGTATGAATGGATGGAGACGAACAGTAACACACAAATTGCAGGCAAAAGATGCAATAGCCCCTTGCTTAGTTTCTACCCTTTCTAGCAAGTAGCAGGTAGATTTGTGGACTTAAATAAAATAAAAGCAGTGGTGTGAACTCTCTGTTCTGGTGACATTTGGTGCATCCTTAATCAGTAAGTAATTTGACTGATTAATATAATGGTGTTCAACTGCAACCACTGCTTTAAGTGGGAAGTGGAAGCACGTTTTACCAGCTGGTCGTGCACCAGATGTGCATTAGTATTAATTAAAAAAAGGTGATTAGTGAGGAGAAGCTGTTTCTGCAATTTAACAATGTACGTTTTATTCTTCTCTTGTCCATCCATTATTATGGCACCTTTTCTGACTTGAAACTTCCAACAAATGATGCTCCCAAACATTATTGGCATACTAACTTTGGTTCCATTCTCGACTGTATTACACCACATGCTTCTATACCATCTTCTACTCGTGTAATTGTACTACGTATTCACACCTTAATACGCACTCCACCATATATTGACAATACCTACTTAAGGTTGACAAACAAAAAGAGATTCCATCAAGAAATACTAAGAGGTCGTTTGGTATTTGCGATTGTTAGAATTGATGTATTGTATGAATACTTGCATTGTAAATTGATGTACTGTCTAAATGCATGTGTTATAAGATTAAATTATTTGGTAGTTGTGATTGTAATTTTAGGAATAAAATGAGAAAGTTACTTTTTAAGTGAAAGGTCATGTTTACCCTGTCTTTTACATTGAAAAGTAATAATGCATAAAAGTTGATAAGGATATAAAGGGAAAGAAAAATGGAAGAACAATCTCAAAACGCAATCTCAACAATCTCACCAAATTGTTGAGATTGTAAATCATTCATATTTTGAATGATTTCAAGTGTCACATCATCAATGAAATGCATGCACTGTTTTTCATTTTAACACAAAAAACGATGCATTCTATACAATACATGCCTTCATTAAATGCATCGTTTAGATACGCATATACCAAGACCCCTAAGTTTAAGAGATAGTAATTGTATTTCAAACTATTATAATACAAACACTTCTCACAATATGAGGATTTTTTTCGTTGAATGCAATGAACCTTGATGTAGTTAATTACCACAAGATTAATTTTTTGTATTTTGGCCTTTTGTGCTACGTTTTTGGCTTTGCTGGGCATGGGTACGCAATTTGTAAATTGGGCTGTAAAGGGATGGCAATGGATGGATTTCCTTAGACCATTTTCATCCCAATTTTTTAAAAAGTCAAATTCATATCCACTTCATAGTCATGTGGGGAGGTTTTGGAATCTCATTCGCGGTTATTGAGTAATACCCGCCTCGTATATTAAATATTATTATACTTAGAATTCAATATGTAGATTATCTTCAATTATAACACTAAACAGACTTGATAAATCATGAAATCAATAAATAATACGACCATTATCAATATGGATTCAAAGCATCCAATTCTAAAATATCCAATAATCGATAGGACTAATACTACTGGGAAGTCTGAACTATCAAGAATGTGTCATTTGTGTCTCGAACTTTTCAACATTCCATTTATGTCCCAAGGTATGATAGTTGTGTGTAATTTATGTCATGATGATTTCGTTAACCGTTATAAAAAATGGTTGACCAGACGGTGGTCAACTTAACATTTACATAGGAGCGATTAAGATGATTTGGGGATTTTTGTAACTTTTTATTTTTTAAATTTCTTATTTCAATCATTTTAGGTGAAAATATAAATAAAAATTAACATTTAAAATTCCATAGCAGATGCCACGTCGATACTGACTGGATTTTCTGTTAAATATTGATGGTCAAACTCGGTCAACACTTAAAGGAAAATAATTCAGGACATAAATGTCATATTGAATAGTTCGGGACACAATTGACACTTTTTTGATGGTTTAGGTTTCCCAGTGGTATTATCCAAATGATTAATCTCTGACACATCCACTAAGCAATAAATAACTAAAATAATCTTGTTAACAAAGGGAAAGAAGTGAAAGAGTGAATGTTTGTTTTAGGTGGCCACTACTCAATTACACTTCAAACTCTTTATATTTTTATATTACCCCTCTCGTCATTGTGAGGTTACAATATAATCTCTATATTTTTAATATATGAAGAAATACTCTTGGTGGCAGGTATGGTATGAGACCGTAGATTCTAAAACCAAACCCGCCCCTTCCCTGTCAAAATTTTTGCGAATTTTACCGAATACCCACCCTATACTTAGTCAATGCGGGGATTCCCTGTGTTGAGTGCGTCGGGGACGGTTGCGTACCTGCGATTGCGAGTTTGATTGTCATCCCTAGTGGTGGTATTGTATATTCTTTCCTTGTCTCGGTTGTGAAATAATTTCGTTCATGATGATCACTTGGGCATTGGGACGTAACCCCTATAAGAATAGGATCTCATCAGCAGCCAGATTAGTAAAACTATTGACGATAGTGACACAATCATTTGTTGTGGTGATCAAGGATGAATTGTAAGATTTTTTTATGGTTGGACATTGTTTCTGCCCAGTAACCCCCTTCTTGCGCTTCGCACCTCTGGCTCCTTCGTCCGTTTACGCAGCCGCCTCCCTGCACCCACACAAGCGCCTAGCGGACCGAAGTGGTCCGTTAGCACTCCAACGCTCAAGTAAGAACCTACTTTCTAGAGAGAGAAGTGAAGGAACAGTTCTAGTAAGAGAAGCAAAAACTGAGTAAATGAGGTTTACCTACTCAACTATTTATACCCGGGGCGAGATCGACCGGTACACGTCGCTCTCGCCCTGTGTCAGACCCGCCATAAATGCGCCGTACACCCCTAGACCATGCGCCTCGACCATCTGACACTTCGGTCAGAGGTTGGAGGCGCATGACATCACCTGATCAGCTTTTCGTACACTTCCGACCGTTGGCTGCCTTTGTCTCATATGTCCCTTGCCAGGTGCCCGGTCCCACCTGTCTCACACGCTATCTCAGCCACCTAGGCCTAGGCCCGGGCGCCCTTCAGCCCAAGGTTCCTGCTCCCATGGGCTTTCTCAGTCTTCTTGGTTGGGCCCACGCCTCTGGTCCATAATAACTTACTTTGGGCTTCTCCCATTTGGGCCGGCCCATGCTCATTCCCCCAACAATTGCCCCCCAGTTAGGCGCCTAACGCCCAAAGTTAGGGGCCTGACTGTGTATTTTCTCCGTGCCCTCCTTGGATCTGCGTCCTCCCGAGGGCTCTCCTCTGGTTCATGCGCCTTGCCTCTCTTGAGGTTCGCGCGCTTCCTTCTCCGCTATGCGTTCTCTCTTCGTACGATTTACCCTCTGCTTCTCCCTTGTATTTCTATTTTCTTATCCACGCTCTTTCCCCCCACTCGCCTATTCGTAAGTATGTGTTCTTTTACTTACTTATTATTTTTTATGTATATATATTTTTTTCTTTTATTTTTATTATATATATATTTATTTTATTTTATTTTATTTTCTCTCGACTGCCCCCCTTTCCGCCTCTTTTTCTGTGCCATGGTGCCCCTTGCGATTCCTCTCTCTTCCCTCCCCCCAA